TAACTACATAGTTTTCACAAAATAAAACACGAGAACTAGAGAGGGCTAGAGTAAAGACTACCTATTATAACCCTGCGGAATAATTTGTTAATATTATTGAAGTAAAGTACAACCTTGATAGCGAGTTTTTAGGGTGTAAAGCATACGGAATATTTGTAGCTTCAGTTGCGGCCTTTAGAAGCGGCTCCGGATGATTTCGCCACTGTAAAATACATGGGATTACTGTGAAAATAGTGAGTTTTTTTCAGTTTTACATCCTGTTCCGACTCGTAGCTCGCGATGTCAAAAAATCGCAATTTCCGAATTTCAATATGCTGTAAAGAAAAAAATTGTACACAAAATATATCTTATTTAAAAAATTTAAAGACACGTTATTTTTTCTATGTTTGTTTGAAATATTTTTTTATCATATATTTGTGTATTTTGGTCAGAATTATTTAACATCTTTTTCAAAATTCAAGGCATATTAAATATGATAGATCAAAAATCATCAGATTTCGTCAAGAACGGGCCGAATTACAAAACTCCAAAGATAAAATAACGGAAAAGTGTTCGAAAACGATAAGGATCTGGTTCTCGCACGCATTTTCTGTATATAATACATGAGAGGTAACTGAATTTCCTAAGACGTGTATCATTTTAAAAACTTCTGCGCCAAACTTCTCTCAAAACTTTCTGCCACCAAAAAGATAGACCTGATGTTCAACGGCGGTTTCAAGACAACCACTGCGTTTCGTAGGACTGACAGTAGCGAATAGTTCGCAACCATCAGACTCTTCATCTTCTGACAGGTGCAGCCCCCTAGATCGTTTCCGAACTAGCTTCGCATCAACAGATGAGCTGTCAGAAAATATCATGATAGAGCCACCAGAAGACAGCGTATTCCTTTAAACAATCTTTCGAGATCGATTAGTACCACAGCTGAAACGAAGAAATATCCTAACGCACTCGTGAACGATAATAAAAACAAAAAACTTTTTTGCTTCAGAAAAGACTCAGAACGCGGTGATAGCTGTAGAGTTTTTGTCAATGTCTTGAGAGATTAGTCTTTTTAATCCTAAAATAAAATTTAAGAAGGCTCAGACCATTGCACTCAAACGTCTATAAAGTTTAAAAAACAATTTTCTTCTTTTTTAAAAGTTTGCTTGAATAAAAACGACGAAATACACAACTTTTCCTGCCTTCCGTATCATCCCTTGTGATTGCAATGACATTTCCTTATTTAAGAGGCACTGGTGAGGCAGTTGAAAATATGACAATTAAAACAGTCACATGTAATTTACCGATATATATGTATATATGTTGTGTAACAAATTTGAAAAAATTTAAAAACAAAGATTGCAAGCAAAAAGAAAAAACGGCTCGAACTAGAGTTCAGAAAAAAAAAAATTATCTAGCCATTCTGGTCCCACTTAGATGAAAAAGACAAAGTTATAAAAAACTGTGACACAAAGAATAACCTGATGGATGTTCACCTTACAGCTGAAAACGTGTTGTTACATTTACTATACATATTCATTAAAATCTGGATACTTTATACGATGGAAAAAAAAACTCAAAAATTAACCTAGGGAGGCGAAAACCAGAAATTAAAAGTGATATCACCTAGAAAAACCTATATACTTTACCGACTTCATGGAGCAAAGTGTCGTTACTGTTCCAGACAGTATTGGTTTGCAGATTATTATAAGTGTATAAAACGCTTACCTGTTAGACGTCCATTGGACCGCAAACCTACTGACTGCTGTTGCTGAAGTGAATCTATTGTTTCACAAGACTGCTGCCACTATTTGTAGCATATACGACAAACGTTTTCCACCATGGATGGTCGTTAACCAGACGTTAGATATGGTACTAGACTTACCCAGCTGCTGAAGGAGGCCGAATGTTTCATAAACTCTTTCCCGCTAGCGCGAAAAATACATCTACAGCTGTTTTGGCGAAGTGCCAACGAGCGAACAAGGACGTTACGTTGCTATCGCTGTACCATAAAGTGCGGCAAAGTACACAACTTTTGTTATTTAACAGCAGTACAGGAATAGCGTTACTACCGTTGCTGTTAATGTTATAGAGCCTGTTTCGACAGCCAGGTG